AGGCTTGATTCTATTCTTAAATTAATATAATAAGCTGTGGTCTTTACCTAAATAACTTGAGAAATTGTGGTTTTTATTTGAATAACTAGAGAAGACACTTTTGATGACTTTCAGAATACTATCATCGTTAGGCCAACTGTATAACTAAATGGTAATAATCATGTGAATATATTTATTTTCCTTCCTAACTTAGTAGTTAAAAATTTTTTTAAAAACAATTTTAAGAGAAAAACATGGTTGCTATCTATTCAGCACTTTAGATATAGCTCAAGAGCACATTTACATCATTATTGTGTCTTTGGTGATCAAAATAAATAAATTAACTGAAATGTCAAGATCATAAACAGGATTTGAAGTCAGGCAGATCTGGTTCAAATTATAGGTGATGGACTTAGAGCAATCACTCAGCTTCTTTGCACCTCAGTTTCTCCATCTCTAAAAAAGGAATAATAGTTATCTTACATTCATTCATTCAACAAATATCTACTGAACTCGTGTGCCCTGAAGCTGCTAGGTTACATTTACCAACAAGACAAGTCCCTGCCATTCCATCGCTTACAGTCTAGTAGAAGAGGTAGATGATAAACTTAAACACATATCTAAAATGATCCCACGTTAAGTGGTCAATGCAATGAAGAAAATATAACAGAGTAATGGGATAGAACATGACTTGAGGGGGAGAGAGGAGGGGTGTGGCCACCTGATCAGACAAGTCTTCTTGAGGAGATAGCACATTTGAGCTTAGACCCAATTAATGAGCAGCCAGCCATGGGTAGATCTACGAATATCCAGGGGATGGAAAGTTCTTGAGGCAGAAAGAAATTTGGCCTATTTTTATGACTAGAAAAAAGTCCTATGAGGCTGGAGACTAGTGGGAAAAAGAAGGGAGAGTACTGTGATATCTGGAGAATATTAGGATACTAGGAGAGGCAGGCAAGGTTCAGGTCATGTAGGGCCCTGTAGGTATCATAAAGAATTTGGATATTATGCTGATTGCAACAGAAGACATAAACTGGCTCAAAACAAGAAATTGACACCATAACATTTACATTTTAAAAAACTCCCACTCTATGAATAAATTGTTAAAACTAATAAGATTGCTCAATAGGTTTGCAATAATCATGTTCCTATATATCAATAACAGAGTTTTAAAATATAATTTAAAAGATACCATTTATAAAAGCAATAACAACAAAAAAGATACACAGGAACAAATTAAAGAGTTTAAAGATCTTTATGGAAGTACATTATAAACATTTTTGGATGATATTAAAGAAGGCTTAAATTAATGAAAATATATCCATGTTCAGGAATGGAAAGGCTTGATATCACAAAGATGTCATTTTCCTCCAAATTATTTGATAAATTCAGTACGATTCCAATTACAAATCTCAAGAGGATTTTTCTTTCCTTTGTGGCACTTGACAATCTGACCCCAAAATTTATATGAAAGAATAAGGGGACAAAATTAATCACGTCAATTTTTAATTTGCCCTATCAGATATCAACACATAATGAAAACAGTTTGATATTGGGTGAGGAATAGACAAATAAACCAGTAGAACAGAATAAAGAACAGTATAAACAGTAGAACAGTAGAACAGAATAAAGAGCTCCTAAATAGACCTACATATACAGGAGAAGTTGGTACATGACAAAAGTGGCATTAAGGTCAGTGGGGAAAGGATGGACAATTAAATAACTGCTGCTAAGACATCTGGTTATCCAAACAAAAAACAAGATCAATCCAGATAATTTAAAGACAAAACCATGAAAAACGCATGCTTTTTAGAAGAAAATATGAGAGAATATATTTACAACCTCAGGATAGGGAAAGGGAAGGATTTCTTGAGACATAAAAAGCACAAACCCTACTGGAAAATATACATATTTTTAATTATATCAATAGGAAACATTTCTGTACACCCAAGACATCCTAAAGTGAAAAGACAAACAATAAACTAGGAAAAGATATTTGCCAGCCAAAAAACCAAAAAGAGTTATTTTCCCGGAAAATAGTAAACAAACAACAAAAGCCTACAAATCAATAAGAAAAAGCAACCACATAGAAAACTGGGCAAAGGATGTGAATTTGAAATTCACAGAAAAGGAAAACTTAAAGGCCAATAAACACATGAAATAATGTTCACTTCCATTAGTAATAGGATAAATGCATACAAACAAGAATGACAGCATCTAAAAAGTATCCAAGTACTAGGGAGGCACTAGAGTAGCAGGCATGCTCATTTAAAGCTGACTGGAATACAAATTGTTACAATCGTTTTGAAGAGCAATTTATTTTTAATATCTGGCAATAATATTGAAATATATTTATTGAAATGATCCTCTAATTCCTAGGTATATTATTCTAGAGAAAGTTTTGCATGTATGTATAAGGAGACATAAAAATATTCATGGCATCATGGGGTCTTTGGAATGAAAAACTGGAAATGAGCTAAATGTCCATTAACAGGATACAAGTATATTAATACAATAGAATACAACAGTGAGAATGAATAAAATGCAGTTATACCTGTTAGTGAGGATGAATCTCATAAAGAGAATACTCAGAAAAGAAACCAACTGCAGAAAGTTTTACTTACAGTAAAAATAAAATTTATGTAAAACACTATATACTGATATGGATATATATGTAGATGTAATAAAAGTACATATATTTCATGGGAATGATAAACATGAAAATCAGGATAGTTTTACCCTTGGGGAATGGGATTAAGGAGGAATACACAATTATAAAATTACATATTTTTTTAAGCTAGGTGGTGGGTACACAGTTATCTGTTCCATTCATTAATTTTTTGGTAAAGTGGAAATATTTTACAACACAATTTTCAAGAGGAGAAAAGTAATTCTAGCTTATAAAGTGAAGCCTGAACTATCAGAGGGTAAGAAGGGAAATAGGGAGAACTGTTAGCAGACAGTTGCAGTATTCTAAGAGAGTAGACTTGAGTCTCTAGCACAGCTTCGGGCACATGGTAGGTGTTTAACGAACTTCAGCTATTGCGTGGTGGTTTGCTATTATCATCATAAGGGTAAAGACAGGGGGATTGTGAAGAAAGATAAACTAAATGTTTTGGGTAGTTATATTGAGTGACTTGCTGTATTTCTCTCTTTTAGTCTTGACTAGGATCTGGTCATAAAGAATCTAAGGCTCACAGAGGCCAAAGCCGGAAGGCTCAAGGCTTCATAAATTTCTATTGACTCATTTTCCAATGTCGCGTAAACTTCCTCCTGAACCCGCACTCCTCAATACACCCACCACTTTCTGGTCCAGCACTGGAGAAAAATTCAAGCGGCTTTTCTCTTTGGTTCATAAGTAGCATATTTTGAGTTAAATATTAATAATTCGATACAGCAAACACTTGGATAGGGGCTTATTACTTATTACAGAATACTTTTGGATCTCTTAATTTTTCACCTGATCCTCCTAACAACTCTGAGAACTGGCAGGGCAGCTGATTATTTCTGTTTTACCGATGAGTAAACTAACATCCAAAGAGGCTAACCTGGTGACCATGAACTTCATGGAATCATATCTTAAACATTTTGTGATTGAGTGGGCATTTTTCAGCTTTAATTGTCCTTTCAAAGGAGGCTATGACTCCCCAGAAAGGTCTAAGAAATACTGAGTTAAATGATTTGCCTAAAGCCTAAGGTCACATGGTCTTGGTGGAGCCAAGACCTCAAGGAATTTCTTCTTATCCCACACTCAGAATTCTTTCCATTACAACGTATAGCACCAAAATCAAATTAGAGATATTATTAGTGAAATACTTTTTGTAATGTTTACTGACTGCTAAGATGGTAACGTTATTAAATACACCAAAACTTCTTACTTGGGAGAAATAGTTTTGGCCTGTTCAGGCGTTGGGCAGTCACTCAGCAATCTACTCTGTTACAGATGAAGAAATCCAAACCTGTTTGTTGTCTTTATAACAAGCCCTAGTACATACTTACTAAATAAGAAATGAATCTGATACAGTAACTATAAAACGTACTTTACAATTCTCAGTAATCTACAGAGAATAATCATGAAATACAGCTTGATTCAGCGGTGGAAAGCAGACTATGAGCTGAGAATGGGATTTTCATTTCTCCTGGACCAGTCACTTAATGTTTTAGGATCTCCCTTCTCCCTTCTCCCTTCTCCTTAGCTGTAAAAGGGAGGATTAAAGTGGGTCGCTTCTCAGCTCTAACACTGCATGCAGTTTGATGGGATTAAAATAAAAAGGACGACAGGAGTTTCATGTATAAACTCTTTACACACAGTCTGTTAATGTTAACCTTATTTTCCCAATGAGAAAGGCCAGTGCCCAAGGTGGCTAACTGGTCATTAGACCCAAGTGTCCTTCTTGGCCCTCAAGAAGGCCAAGCCTGAGTCCCCCTTGGAGTGAAGTAGGGGCGGGCAGGCAGGTGGACAGAAAGCTATGTCAGGTCTATGGTCCAGTGGGATTTCAAACAGAAGGGCCCTTAGTCCTAAATTTAGGAATGAAGGAAAGCGGAGACGCCCAAGCACAGGCGCGAAGGGACCTGCTTAAACAGGCTAGGGTGTGCGAGCGTTTGGGGTGGGGCTTCGAGCCGGGAGGCAGTTGAAGGGCCGAGCGCAGCACCTACCTCCGCATCTCCGCCGCCAGGGGTGGGCTATCGCTGAGAAGGCTAAGCCACCCTTCGGAACCTCCCAGCCCGGGCAAGGCCAAGTGATCCAGCTCCGGTGCGGGGAGAGGCGTGCCCTGTTTCCGCCCCGCCCCGCGCGCATGCGCGCGGCTCCCGGCGCTGAAATTCAAATTTGAACCGCGGCTGAAGGCCGAGCGTGACACTGGAGGTTGTGGAGAAGAGGAGGGTAGGTTGGGAGAGTTCCCCTGCCCCGGACTTCTTGTTTTCTCCAAGTGACACACTGAGCCGTCACTCACTTCTTTTCTCTTTCCGAATTTGAACCACCGTTTCGGTCGTCTCGCAATCGACACGCGAAGCCCGGGGCGATGGACCCGTTTACCGAGGTGAGAAAACTTGCGGGCAGAGCCAGCCATGACCCCTCTCGGCCCCCACCCTCCCTTCCCACCTTCTGTCTACCTCTGGACCCACCGGGCGGAGAGCGCGTGCGCGCGCGTGCGCAGAGTGTGCGTGCGGGTGTCGGACTGGGAAGCCAGGAGTGGGCCGCCGGTTCTCTTTGCTCTGCGGCTGCAGTTCTTCTGCGGTTTTCTTGTTCTTATTCCTGCAGTTGAAGCTCTGGGGGGGGTGGGGGGTGGGGGTGGGGAAGCTTTGAGTCTGTCCTCAGTAGCAGTAGTGAAAAAACCTCCTGTCAGCCCCGGTTATTATATGCCCCTCTGGAGTGGATCCCTGTCCCTTGCGAGGGTGAGGTGGGGGCCTGACCAAAAGATCCCGCTGGAAGTAAAAGCCGGGGTAACTTGCAGGGTGGAGTCGGGTGTCCGACTGACTCAGTGCTGTGTGTGCAGCCGCCGCCCGGAAATGGAATGGAATGTGATTTGCAGGGTTCTTGTGGCCCGTAGAGGAGCCGTGCATTTAAGGATGCTGTGAACGAAATGACAGCAAAACGTTAAAATAAGCCGGTGCCTGAAACCATTGCATCCGTTCTTACAAAGTCAATAGTTCCTTCAGATTCTATTGCTCAGCCAACTAGCAAAGAAGATTCATACCTGAGATTGATACAAATTGAAAGGAAACAGTGTTAGCCGAATACGTACAAACCAAAATTAATAGCCCACGATTTAAAAAAAAATAGTAAAGAAATAAACCTTTTTGGGTATGTTTATGGAGCATACCATTACAGCAATACCTCACTCATCTTTTGTTCTTTGGAAATTAAATATGGATTAATTACATCGTTATTGTGTCGATTATTTCTCTAGCTTTGGCTTCTTGTTGACAAGGTACTTTGACACACTCAGGAATTTCCACTCCTTTTCTTCCAGGACAGTTCCTCATTTTTTAGGTTGTTGTGCAAGTTTCAACTCAAAAAATAACAGTTGCTGCAAAGTGAGCCTAAAAATGTCTCTGCACTAGATTGAAAAATTGAATGGAGAGTGGTAATACTTTTTTTTTTTGAGATGTACTTACAATCCTAGGATATTAAAAGTTTCAACAATTAGAGTTTACTTGTGTTCAAACACAACAGTTTATTTTTGTTTACAAATTCTCAATCATCTCTGGGGGAAAACACATCATTTCGTTAACCTTAAATATTCTAACAGAAAAATCCTGAACACCTTTTTGTATTAGCTTTAAAGAATAGAGCTGGTTGTGCACTACATATTTTTCACTTACACTGAAGTTAAAAAGGATACATTATGTTCCAACTTAGAATAGGATTCCTTAAAATATTAGCCCTATGTGTTCTGTATATTTTCATTCTCCTAGGTAACTGACAGGACAAAGCATTTTGAAAGTTGGCTGAGAATTGTACTTTTTTTTACTTAAAAATGTTATTCTGAAGCTAGTATAAATCTCAGTAGAAAGAAACTTTTCTTTAAAAGAAACTTTTCATTTTAGAGTGTGCTCAGAAATATGTATGGTTTATGTTATGAAAAGTTAGATCGGTTGCAGTTGGAATAAACAGCTTTGACATCTTTTCCTTAATTGGTAATGAGTGAACAATTTGAATTGGTTCCAAAGATTAGGTGCTTAATTATAGCATTCATAACATTTTTGCACAGTGAAACTAACTGGTACAGTTCCTTGTCTGAAAAAAAAAAATTGGAAGTCAGTTAAAATGACTTTCTCACCCAGAGTTCCTTCTTAGAACCATAGAACAGGGAAAATTATTTGAGAGAACTGTTTCCTCAGTTTTCCCAAGGGTGATTTTTAGCCAGACCACCCTACAGGCATAGGAGAGCTGTTAATTAATTACATTAATGCCAGGGCGTTAGGGATTAATTCTCTTGGTAACTCTAGTTGAGAAAGGCTACAACTATCCTAAACTCTTGTTTCCTCAGGCAAGGCTGTTGTGCAGTGGCTCTCCTCCCTGCTGTCACTAGTGCTGGCTGGCACTCTTCCTCTCCCTGCCTCTTCTGCCTGGCAAACTCTGTTTCAACCTGCAGCTCACAGTTTGATTCCCCTTCTTCAGAGGGGAGATCACCTTTCACAGTACCCATCTCACTCGCATTTATTTACCCATTGAACATGTTTTCTGTTAGAATGTAAGCTTCTTGAAGTAGGACTGTTGTTTCCTATTCAGAGAGATGTTTCCCTAACATCAAGCACATCCAATAATGTTCTGCCGAATTGACGTGGAAGAGAGCCATTCAGTGCAGATTATTTTACAGGCAAATAATTATATACAACAGTAACTGTTAGGACATTTTAGCAACATTGTTTTCTCTATTGTAGAAAATTTCAAATATAATGCATCCACCACCCAGCAACACGTGGCCATATTGTTTTACTGTATCCCCTTCTAATCCCTCCCTCTGAATTATTTGGAAGCAAATTCTAGAGGTCATATAATTTTATATGTAAGCACTTAAGTATTTATCACTGAACACTAAAGACTTAGAAAAAACATAATGCTACTATCACACCTAAAAAATCAACAGCATTTCCTTAATATCATCAAACATTGTAAGTGTTCAGGTTTCCTTAAGTGGCTCATGTTTTTGCAGTTTGTTTGAATCAGCGTCTAGACAGGGTCCACAGGACCATGTCTTCCTAATGTTCTTCATGGCCCAACTGGAGATAAAGAATCCATCTTGATTTATGGATGAACAAACAGTTAAGGCACACGTTTATTATTGTGATCAGCAGATAGTATTAAAAAAGTTATGTTGATTGTATGAATTTGGTTAGTTTTGCTGATGATAAGTTCTTTAAAAGAGCAATAGGATTTAGTCAAAAGATAGTTTATAGCAAAGTAGTTAAGAGTCCAGACTCCGGAGCCTGGTTCTGAATCTTGGCTTGCCACTGTTTTTTGTTTTTTGTTTTTTTTAAATTTTTGTCCACGTTGGGTCTTTTCTTGCTGCACGCTGGCTTTCTCTAGTTGCAGCCAGTGGTGGCTTCTCTTGTTGCGGATCACAGGCTCTAGGCACACGGGCTTAGTAGTTGTGGCTCGCGGGCTCAGTAGTTGTGGTTCGTGGGCTTAGTTGTTATGCGGCATATGAGATCTTCCTGGACCAGGGCTCGAACCCATGTCCCCTGCATTGGCAGATGAATTCTTGACCACTGCGCCACCAGGGAAGTCCCTGCCTTGACACTTCTTAACTGTGTGACCTATGGCTTGTTATTTACCCCCTGCCTGAGTTTCTTCATCTGTAAAACAGTAGTAAAAACAGAATTTTGCCAAATCATATTTTGAAGATGAAATGAGTTAGTGCGTGCAGACACTGAAAGTACTTTATATTAAGCCCTGTATAAGCATTAGTGACTGTTGTAATTGTTGTTAGGTGGATTTAAAACCATCAACTTACTACTCATGATGTCAGTATTAGCCTCTTGGTATGAAGATCTGCTCACTAGTGATGGTCATCCCACTCCAACCCAGAGCTAGGTGTGCCAAGTCAGAGCTTTCTATGTAGGAAGCTTAAAAGAGAAAAAGCTACAATTAAAATCCATAAAGCATCTTTTCTTGTGATATAAATAGATATACATGCTATCACTGTTTTGGATAGAGTTTGTCTAATTTTCCAGAACTAAGCGAAATCTCTGTGACGACCTGGAAAGAATGCTGCTACAGCATTTTGAAAATAATAAGTTAATTGTTATTGAGTCTACTTTGTTTAAGAAGGCAAGAAAATCAGTATCTCCTAGAAAAAATTTCTGTCAGAAATAGTTTGAGGGATATGGGGCAGAAATTGCTTTAGGACTATATGCTTCAGTTATCTTAGATTCGTCCATGTGGAATACCTTCCTGATTATGTTAGTAATTGCAGTGTTTTATTTTTTTTTTAATGCCTCTGTTATTTGAAGAAGGAGGTGTGATATTTGAAGGACTGTACCTTATAAATAAAAGATCCCTTAAATTCCTGTTACACTTTTATAAAGAAGGGTGACTTACATTTATTGAACTGTTGAGTTTATGTATTTTAGATACATCATTTCTTTACATTAATAATCTTTGGTGCTTATTAGTTTTATTTTACAGATTAGGGAACTTTTTTGCTTATCTACTTTAATATGTTTTAATCTTGAAATTTTTGAGTCTAATGTAGCAAAAGAACACTCGTATATATTTGAATGGCAAAACCACATTCCTCTGTGACCCATTACTCATAGTAATCGAAGATATACGGACTCATAAGTATTCTAACTGACCAGAATGGAATGTGGGCGTGTCCATGAATGAATATAGTTAGTCTAGTTTTGTATCTTGGGAGTGATATATTTTATTGTGGGGGAAATTATCAGACATATATGAATTTGTGTAATACTATCACTTTAGAGTTTGTTGAAGACTTTTATTTAAAGGGTGAAGGTCTTGTGTTTTGGAAGGCATTTGACTCATAAATTACTCTTTCAGTGACATAGCATTTAGGTTTAGTGTTACTTCTTTCAGTGAGAAATCATTCCTAAGTAGAGAGTTGTGCCTTCTTCCAAATTTAGCTCATGTATCTTTTGCATACTCAGAAGGATTAAAAATATTATTATTCTGTTTTAATTAAGCAACTAAAAAGGTCAGATGGAGTTTAATTCCTTAGTCTGCACTAACTGCTATATCTGTGTTTGCAGGGCAGTCTGTAAACTCCAGCCACTAATCTGCATGCCTCCTTTGGTTGTGTTCATTTGAAAGAGAATGAATTGTTTTACAGGGTCTTGTGTTTGCTATACTACACTGATTCGAATTAGGAGCATACATTGGGGTTAGAAAAGAGTAGTATTCACGATTCTATGGAATGGCTAAGATTTCAACTTAAAACTATTTTATTATATATTGATATTTAATTAAATAAAACATAAGATTATTTAGGCTTATTTATTTTTCTCTTAGGAAGTGTCTTATGTCTTCAAAGGACTATTATGCCAGTAATCTCTTGCCATCACCCCAAATCTTAGTGGTTGTATTAGTTTTGCTGCTACAACAAATTATTACAAATTTACTGGCTTAACATCACACATATTAATTATCTTCTGTAGGTCAGAAGTCTGATAGGTTTTGCTGGTTCAAATCAAAGTGTTAGCAGGATTGTGTTCCTTTTGAACGCTCTAGGGAGAATCTGTTTCCTCGCCTTTTCCAGCTGATAGAGGCCGCCTGAATTTTTTGGCCTGTGGCCGAAAAATGTCCATCACTCTGACCTCTGCTTCCCTTGTCACATCTTCTCTGACTCTGAGCTTCTGGGCCGCTGTTCCCTCATAAGGACAATTGCCCTTTTGAGGCCCACCCAGAAAATCCAGGAGAATCTCTCCATCTCAAGGTCATTAATTTAATCACGTCAGCAAAGTCTCTTTTGCCATGTAAGGTAACATATTCACAGGTTCATGGGATTAGGACAATGAACAACTTTGGAGGACCATTATTCTGCCTACCATAGCGGTTAAAACAACCACCACATTATTTTCCATGATTCAATGGCTTAGCATGTGGGCTCAGCTGGGCTGGACTTCTGGTGTCCCCTGCAGTCGTATAGGAGTCTGCAGTGATATACTAATTACCCGGGACTGGATGGTCTAAAATAGCCTTCCTCTCAGGTCTGGTGGTTGATGCTGGCTGTCAGCTGGGCCATGTGTCTAGCAGGCTTAACCTGGGCTTCTTGTGGAGGCAGTGTTCCAAGAGAGTGAGAGCAGAAACTACAAGACCTCTTGAGGCCTGGGACTGGAAGTCACATACACAGTATCACTTCTGCTGCGTTTTAATGGTCAAAGTGAATCATAAGGCCATCCCAATTCAAATAGCTTTTGATGGAAGCAGAAAAAAATTTGTGGCCATTTAAAATCTCATACAACTAACTTAACACATTTTATTCCCCCTTTAATGTTCATATTACGTCCGTAATTAAATTTTGACATGGGGGTGTTCATTTGGTGAATCTTGACTTAATTACTTAGGATTTCACTTTTGAAATGTATTTAACTGTTATTGTACATGATGGCAATTAGTGATTTTAGAAGATACCTGAAGTTTTCTGAACCTTTGACGAGACTTGTGTTTTAACGCTCTGATATACGTAGAAACTGCTTGAACGAACCCGTGCCAGACGTGAGAATCTTCAGAGGAAAATGGCTGAGCGGCCCACCCCAGCAGCAAGATCTGCGACTCACGCCAAGCGAGTCAGGGAGCCACTTTCAGAAGCAAGTAACCAGCAGCCCCTGTCTGGTGGTGAAGGTAAAACGCTTTGTGGGGAAAAGTAAACTTGGCATTTTTTAAAAGGAGATAAGCGCCAAGCATTTTATTGTTCATGCAGAAGAACCAAGGTCTTTGGGAGACAGATGGAATATCCTCTGGGAGAAAGATCAGCGTTTTGTATTCCAGGCCTATTATATTAGGCCTAGAACCTATCAGGCCAGAGCAGAATTTCTAACAAATATTTCAGATTAACTGGTTGAACTTTATTTTCCTCATTCCAAAATTATCCTTAAAACCTCTCAGGGAAGAATAATAAGTGAGCACTGAGGCACTTATACTGCCGTGGTATAGAGTTTATCTACCCCAACAGGTGCCAGCACAGCTGACCACCAGGTTCAGATGTATCTGTGGCGTAAGCAGGGCAACAAAAGGCAGACCTGCCTGCAAATGCTTGTAATTTGATGAGCCTTTTCATCCTCTGTCTGCTGA